GCTACGAAGCGCAGCTCAGTGACGTGACGGCAGCTTTGGAAACTCAGGTGTGAGGCAGCCTCACACCAAACGGTGTAAGGCAAACGTACCTCACACAAAGTGGTGTAGGGAAAACGTACCTCACACCACTTGGAGTGAGGCTGATTGTGCCTCACAGCAAAAATGGAGTGGCATAGAGGGTATGACACTAATTTGGTGTGAGCGAGGGTATGAGGTATGTTTGTGAGACTGCCTGACACCTGAGTTTCCAGAGAGAGCAACACTGTTAAAACCTTACGAAGCAAACGCTTCGTACTGTACGTACGAAGAATTTCTCATTTTGCTTCGTAGGTTGTAGGTTGTAACTGTGAAAACAGTACTCGCGACAACACAGCATATCGCGTCTCTCGTGTACTCGTTAGTGACGGGAGGGATGTGGAGCGTGCAAGATGCGCTGGTTGCGGCGGCACGGCGGCGTCCAGGAGTGGGGCGTGCGCGGGGGCGGCTGCACTGCCTGCGGAGCCGACACAACCAAAGCGGAGGCGTCGCGGTGGATGTGGAGGGTCGCGGCAGACATCCACCACCACCACCATGTCTCTCTCTCCCCTCTCCCCCCTCTCTCTCTCCCCTGCCCCACGTATCTCTCTCTCTCTTCCCTGGAATCTTCCCTCCCATAATCACTCCCTCATCTCTCTCCATCCTTATTCTTCCCATATGCGCATGAGGTCTCTCTCCTTCTGTCTCTCTCTGCCCCCCCCCCTTTTCTTCTCCATCTCTGCCCCCTCTCCTCTCCCTCTCTCCCCTTCCCCCTCTCTCGGCCCTTCTTGTTTCCCTCGCTGCCGCTGAACGTTGTGTGCGAGTTGCGAGAAGAACGTGTCCGCTCAGCGCCACGGGGGGTGAAGCGAAAGGGAGGAGGAGGAGGAGGAGGAGGAGGGGGGCGGGTGGTCGGTAAAAATGAAATAGAAGAGTAGGCGGCGGCATTGCGCAGCAATTAGTCATCAAAGCCTGGTGCAGCTTGGGGTGTATGTGTGTGTGCCCGCGCGGTAGCGTGTGTGTGTGTACGTGAGCGTGCGTGTGTGCGTGTTTCTGGCTACCTGATTGGAAGCGCACGGTGGGTGCTTTCTGTTCGAGAGGCAAAGTTGAACGCCTGCATCGCGTAGCGGATGAGTGAAGTCGGGCGGAAAGCAAAGCAGGCGGTCCAGTCCTGGTTGATCTCAAAGTTGAAAGTTGAATACGGTCCGTACGATCGAAAGTGCACACGGTACCTGTATC